CACCCTCCTGTAAACACACACACACACACACACACGTGTACACACACACACACTCGTGCAGCTCTTACTCTGAACAATCAAATGCAGACGTAAACAGTCTGAAGCTAAGGACGAYGATATTTTATTGTGCCTGCTGCTTTAGCTTGAAGAGGACCACACCTCCACGTGCACGCACTCATTTCACTGTTTGCTGTAGAGAGAGAGCATAAAGAGAGCAACTGCAGGATAAAYAGGCAAATTTATTAATAAAAAATAAGTTATAGCATCACTTGAAGGAATGAATATCACCTGCCATTTTGCACGTACAAGTTGTCCATAAATATTTTTCCAATTTGTTAYCTCTATGTATGAATAACTTTCRGCTACTACCACACCAGATTTTAGCTCAGTATCTGTAAAACTGACCRAGTTGTAGCTACTTGGGTGTGTTTTGAAATTGATTAGCTGTGGTGGCCATATTGAATCAGGTTGACTCCAAAAGTTAATCAGTTCAACGCATACATCTAGCGATTACTTTCTGAGTGTTTCACTGAAATTTGTCCTGTAATTTTTGAGATATTTTGCTAACAAACAGACACACAGACACATCTACTGCCCACCTTTTATGGTAGCAGGTGATATAAACCATAGCTGATGACATTTAGCTYAGCCTAATCTTTAAAATCTCACAGGAACACAGCTGAAAGTTTAATTTGTCGAATATATGATGAGAMAGTTTCTTCTGTTTGCTGTAAAGGTTTTATTTTTCAGAAACTGTGACGATAAATGCAGCTCTGAACACTGGATGTAAAACAGGATGGACCTCAGCGGAGACATTGTTTAAATTGTACTTTTTGTTTTTGGTTTCAGTCTCTGAAATACTCATTCCAGACTAAAGACCGACTCTGTTTTGTCATGGAGTATGTGAATGGAGGAGAGGTAARAGAAACRCACRCACACACACACACACACACACACACACACACACACACACACACACACACACACACACTTTGATGCTGGTTTTGCTGTTTGTGGTTACCCATGTTTGTGTTATTGCTTTAAACAGCCAGTTGAACAACGTCTCCACCGCAGTAACTGACAGCAATTAGAGCTCCTCTTATTCTGCCGTCGAGCCGAATCCAGGCTGACAGCTCAGACGTTCTTAAAGTTTAACAAAACTCTTCTCGGTTATTATGCCGTTCAGTTCAGTTAAATAAAACGGTCGTTCGGTTTTCAAACATTACAGTTTCCACAAGCGTTTTGAATGACTACTGACACAGTTTCAAGAAATCCAACAAAGCTGTGATTTGTTTGAGCCTTTATTTATTAGACACAGACAYGACATATTTGACCCATTTTGATTACATTTAAAATTGATGTCAGCACCAAAGCCAAACCTGGTTGGGAGACAGGTGATTCAGGATGGAGAAGATTCTAGATTATAGAAGTAAAACCTTTTGTAAAGTTGTTATATTTAATTGCAGGTGAGGGTGTTCTTCATTCCCTCCTATCTGCTTTGTTTCTACATCACAAAAATTTTAGAACCAGTTAAATTTTAACACAAACTTGCCGTTCAAGTAGTTTGTGCAGTTTTCCCACTGCACAAACTAAATATGCTCTCTGCATACTTTATTCTTGCAGGGACAGACTTGGACACCCACCACTTCTCATAGTGTCAGGTTGTGGTTAATAAAGCAGAATTTATTACCTCTGGATCTCTAGATGTAAAACTCTACCTGTAAATATGTTCTAGAATACGAATATTTGGTATTCTGGTTTTATCACTTCCATAACTGCTCATATTATGGACAAACCTCCTCACTTGCTTCTTCAGAGACAAAAATAAAACGAATGAGGTGATGATAAATGTTTGATTAAACACATGTTGCAAACAGCACTGATCTTTCAGACTCAGGTGTTTTGCCCTGGCAGTGATTTACATCAATATGGGAGAGGTTTTCTGTCAATACATAAATGATATTTTTTTAACCGTAAGCTCAAACCGTTATGGATTTGAAAAAAAAAAAAATCTTTTTTCAACATCTGCAGAGTACTTTTGGTCTTTTTTTTTTGTTAATATTTTGATATTATGTTTTAGTTGAGGATGCATGAATCTTAATTAACCGCACAGCAAATTAAAGCAGCGACACTTGAAGAAGTGGTGAAAGTTTGACTGTTGGATTCCTTTCCAACAGTTAATTTGCCAACCAATCGGCCTCTCTCTTGACTTCCCATCTTTCTTTTCTCCTCCTTTCCTCTCCTGCTTGTGTCTATTTATGAAAACACCTATGGGGGGAAATTCAGCCAGGATGACAGTCAGAGATGAAATGGATTTGGATTCCCTCACTTTTCCATTTCTCAAATTTTTAATCGGGCCGTTTTTGCAATCTTTGTTCATTCCCTTAGTGTAACTGTCACCTGCTCCCCTCCCAGATAGTTATGTAGTTCAGCAAGTGCCAGGCCTGGGCAAACACACACACACACACACACACACACACACACACACACACACACNACACACACACACACAGACTGGTGTCCATTAGTTCTGCTTTATGATCATTGCTCATTTGGTTGATTCTCTGGTTGACCGTGTTTCCTCTGTGTTGAACAAATAGGTGTTTATGATAATTGAAAACACTTTAGCGCCCTTAAAGTCCTGCTTAGTTGAATGCAGCAACCTCTCTGTTGTTAATAGGATTCATATTTCACGTTTGACCTGTGTAATGTATGGATGGATTTAGTCACGTACTGTATTTCAACTAAAGTCATGCATAAAAAGTCAACAAGTTACAAACAAAATGCCATATTGTGGTATTATTTTGATGCTGAGTTCACATAGTAATATAGGCTGTAAAATAGAAAAAAAGCTCAATAAGGCTCAGTGTATTGTTCTTGTTTGATTCATAACCAGAGATGAATGGGCAGAGGCCATCCAGATGGTAGCTGACAAGCTGCAGAAGCAGGAAGAGGAAAGGATCCAGTGCAGCCCCACCTCCAACATCGACAATTTGGTGGAGGAGGAAATGGACATCTCCACTACGCATCACAAACGCAAGGTAAGAAACGTACTAGGGCTGCACCGATTAGTTGAAATAATCGATGACGTCGATTATGTAAATTTGTCGACGCAGATTTTTTATTATCGATTGGCTGTATCACATAACCACCACGTGAATGTTCATTGCGACTGTATTGGCATAAGAGTGGTGAGTTTTTCCTGCTTGTCCTGAACGCAGCATCGCGCAAGAGCGTAATGACGTCAGCAGCCGCTGCTTCAGTTCAGTCTGAAGCTTGAAAACAAGCCTCACAGCTCCTGGAGTAAAATTTACCAAACAGACCGCCTCTGAATTATCTGGTGGATTAATTATCTTRTGAACATGACGTTCGCTTGCTCAAAGTAAATAAAGTACCGCCACTTTCTTTATTTCATCCATCATAAAACAGAGACCGGTGTTAGGTCGAGCCACGTTCCCAGTTTCCCCAGCGTGTCAAACAACAGAGGAGCTTCCC